ACGCAGGGTCAGGTGGGCGGAGCCGGCTGTGGCCCAGTCCCGGGGTGGGTGGGCGCCACGCAGGGTCAGGTGGGCGGAGCCGGCTGTGGCCCAGTTCCGGGGTGGGTGGGTGCCACGCAGGGTCAGGTGGGCAGAGCCGGCTGTGGCCCAGTCCCGGGGTGGGTGGGTGCCACGCAGGGTCAGGTGAGCCAAGTCGGCTGTGGCCTAGTCCCGGGGTGGGCGCCACGCAGGGTTCCTGTGTGAACCTCTCACGTGGCTGTACCATTTGTCCATCTCACTATGTGGATCTACTCTTTTGTGCAAGCCAGGACAAGCACTCCAGCCTGGTCCATAATTCTCATCAGCTGCAAAGCTTTCACGTGGACTGTGTGTTTTCAAAAAGGCAACAGAGCCCATTGTAGAACGTTTTGATAGGGCAGTAGGAATTTGGAAGGACAAGTTTTTCTGATTTAAAAGCTATTTTTAATTTTGAGTATTCTCTTTCAATCTACCCTTTTTTGCAACTGTTGTGTAGAGACTTGTCATAGCACACACACGTAGCATTCACCTTTATTTTATTCACAATTAAACATTATCTCAAAAAGGAAGATTTTAAAAGAAAGGTGAGTTACTTAAAATCACATCTCAGCCTGATTGATCATCATTGTTTTTGATATAAGTCCCATCAGGGCTGCCTTTTTCTTCTTGGCTATGCTTATTTTGGGGAGGAGGTGATGTTTCTATAGTTTCTTTGTAGGAGTTATTTCAAGTCCATTCTTCATTTGGATACAGTTAAGGGCTACAGAACATAATTATGTAATTACAGTTTTACCTAAGAGGCTCCTGAAACCTGCAGGCCTTGGCGAGCACAGTGCAGCCTCTGGCCTCTGCCCTGATGGATGACTGCCCCATGAGCCTCTGACATGAGTGCTGTGTCAGCTCATGTGTTATTGTAATAATTGTTACCTTCTTTTGATAGTATTAAGATAAAAAATAAATATGAAGGAGACTTACGCAAGAGTCATATGACCTGAAGTTGGAGCTGGGCAGAGGTCCTTGAACCATGCTAAAGAATGGCCGTGTTTTACATGCAGGGAAAGCATGAGCAGTTCAAGCCGGGGGCTGAGCGAAGAGGTGATGGGGTGAGGTTTGTGTTCAGAAAAGGTGTCTGGAGCTGCTGGGTGGAGAGTGGATTGAACGTTGCCTTGTCCTAGCACGTGAGCTGCTGCCGCCTCCCTGTTTACTTCCCCTCCCTGTGGAGACAGGCCTTGTGTGGCAGTGGCTGTATAGCCCACTGGGCAGAGCCTTGCACTGCACATGGCACACGGAGCCACAGACTCAGAAGACTTCCTTAGGGTCCAGGCAGAGGGTAGGGCTGGAGGTGACCTGGACACGCCTGGCTGGAGGGGCCTGGGGCTGTGCCCAGAAAATAACTGATTCTTAAGGGAAATGGGCTCCCCAGAAAGCTGGAAGCCTGTCCTACATTTTTTTTAACCTATTTGCAGATTTGCAGTTGAACCCTCTTGAGGGTGAGGAATCTGCTGGTCTTGTATATTTTTTGCTTAACATTGTACCTTTAAAGGTAATTTTTTTTTTCATTTAACATTATATGAATTTGTTTAAATGTTGCTACCTCATTTGTATATTTGTTTTTTGGGTAATGTGATATTTCTCCCAGTTGATATACTCTTAAGTTTTCAACCATTGCAGTATTCATTTATTTATGTTTTCAGACAGGGCCCTGCTCTGTCACCCAGGGTGGAGTGCAGTGGTGCGATCACGGCTCACTGCAGCCTCGAGCTCCCAAGTTCAAGTGATCGTCCTCCCAAAGTGTTCCCAGTAGCTGTGACTATAGGCCCGTGCCACCACTCCTGGCTAATTTTTATTTTTCTGTTTTGTAGAGATGGGGTTTTGCCATATTGCCTAGGCTGGTAAACTCTCAGGCTCAAAAGATCCTCCCGATTTGGCCTCCCAAAATGCTGGGAGCCACCATGCCTGGCTGTTTATTTTTTGAGACAGAATCTCAGTCTGTCACCCAGGCTCGAGTGTAGTGGCTTTATCATGACTAACTTCAGCCTCAGCCTCCTGGGCTTCAGTGACTCTCCCACCTCAGCTTTCCCAGTAGCTGAGACTACAGGCGTGTGCCATGACATCTGGCTAATTAAAAAAAATTTTTTTTGCAGAGATGGGGTCTTGCTATGTTGCCCAAGTTGGCTTAAACTCCTGGGCTCAAGGGATCCTTCCGCCTCGGCCTCCCAAAGTGCTGGGATTGCAGGCGAGAGCCGCGACCTCTAGCCCATTCCCTGTTTACATTGGTCTCAGATTGTTTCCTCTTTAACATTTTTGCTCTTGTAATAATGGTGTCGGTAATATCTTTCAGCAACAAGCTCTTATATTTCTTTTAAGAAATTTCTTAGGTATAAATTCTCAGAAATGGATGAAAGGATATAGTTATTTTATGTTATTGGCCAAATGGAAGAGAATTCTGCCACTTGTTGAATGTATTCTGTCTCTGGAGCTTCCTAGCTTTACATCTTAACTTTTTATGTTCAGCTGTTTAATTTTAGGTGAAAATGGGTCCACCCTCTTTCTTCCTTGCCCTTCTCCGGCCACCTGCCCCTCTGCTATGCACGGGCTCCTGCCCAGTGCTCACCTGACCCACTGCACCTGGCCAGGTGGAGGAGCATGTGGGCCGTATCCGGGAGGAGCTGGACCGTGAGCGGGAGGAGCGCAACTACTTCCAGCTGGAGCGGGACAAAATCCACACCTTCTGGGAGATCACCCGGAGGCAGCTGGAGGAGAAGAAGGCCGAGCTCAGGAACAAAGATCGGGAGATGGAAGAGGCCGAGGAGAGGCACCAGGTGGAGATCAAGGTGAGTGGGGCCAGCCTGCCCGTGCCCACCTGGTCACCACACAGCCACAGAGGAGCTGGGCCCCCTGAGGGTGAGGGTGGGACGCTGTCTGTTCTCAGCTTTGGGAGTCACAGCCCTAAAGACGTTTTTTATAAAAGAGGCCGAGGGAGAGACACTTCATCTCTCCAGTGTCAGGAGAGACCCTGCAGGTCCTGAGGTTTAACATGCAGCCTCCACAACGTGGAAGGAGCATGGGCCCTGGGGGCAGGCTGGTCTGTTTGCAACTCAGCTCTGCCCCTCAGCACCCCGTGAGCTGGGGATGCACCTCACCTCCCAGCCTTGGTGTCTGACTCTGCCTCAAGTGTGCAGGTTTGCTTAAGTGAACAGGCATCTGTAGCTGTGTGCAGGTGAGGAGTCATGCAAGGGAGCAGGTGGATGCAAGTGAGCAGGTGTGTGCAGGTGAGGAGGTGTGTGCAGGTGAGGAGGTGGGTACAGGTGAGTAGATGGTGCAGGCGGGCAGGTGTGTGCAAGTGAGGAGCTGTGTGCAGGTGAGGAGGTGTGTGAAGGTGAGGATGTGTGTGCAGGTGAGGAGGCATGGGTAGGTGAGCAGGTGGATGCAAGTGAGCAGGTAGATGCAAGTGAGCAGGTGTGTGCAGATGAGGAGGTGTGTGCAGGTGAGGAGGTGGGTACAGGTGAGGAGGTGGGTACAGGTGAGCAGATGGTGCAGGTGAGCAGGTGGATGCAAGTGAGCAGGTGTGTGCAGGTGAGGAGGTGTGTGCAGGTGAGGAAGTGTGGGTAGGTGAGTAGATGGTGCAGGTGGTTAGATGGTGCAGGTAAGCAGGTGGATGCAAGTGGGCAGGTGTGTGCAGGTGAGGAGGTATGGGCAGGTGAGCAGATGGCACAGGTAATACAAGTGAGGAGGTGATGCAGGTCAGCAGGTGGGGCAGGTATGTGCAGATGAGGTGTGAGCGGGTGGGTGCAGGTAAGCAGGTGGGTGCAAGTGACCAGGTGCATACAGATGTGTACAGGTGGGTAGGTGGGTACAAGTGACCATGTGTGTACAGGTGTGTGCGGGTGAGGAAGCATGAAAGTGAGCAGTTGGTGCAGACGAACAAGAGGGTGCAAGTGACCAGGTATGTACAGGTGAGCAGGTGTGGTTCGGTGAGCAGGTGGGTGCAAGTGAGCAGGTGGGTGCAAGTGAGCAGGTGGTTGCAAGTGACCAGGTGTGTACAGGTGAGGTGTGGTGCAGGTGAACAGGTGTGTACAGGTGAGGAGGAGGTATGATATAGGTGAGCAGGTGGGTGCAGATGAGCCAGTGTGTGTAGGTGAGGAGGTGTGGTGCAGGTGAGTACGTGTGTACAGGTGAGGAGGTGTGGTGCAGGTGAGCAGGGGTACAGGTGAGCTGGTGTGCAGGTGAGCAGGTATATGGGTGAGGTGTGTAGGTGAGCAGGTGTGTAGGTGAGCACGGGTGTTGCACGTAAGGAGGTGTGTAGGTGAGCAGCTGTGGTGTAGGTGAGCAGGTGTGCAGGTGAGCAAGTGTACAGGTGAGCAGGTGTGTAGGTGAGCAGGGGTGTTGCACGTAAGGAGGTGTGTCGGTGAGCATCTGTGGTGTAGGTGAGCAGGTGTGATGCAGGTGAGCAGGTGTATGGGTGAGCATCTATGGTGTAGGTGAGCAGTTGTACTGTAGGTGAGCAGGTGTGCAGGTGAGGAGGTGTATAGGTGAACAACTGTGGTGTAGGTGAGCAGGTGTGGTGCAGGTGAGCAGGTGTGTAGGTGAGCAACTGTGGTACAGATAAGCAGGTGTGTAGGTGAGCAGCTGTGGTGCAGGTGAGGTGTGCAGGTGAGCAGGTGTGGTGCAGGTAAGCAGGTGTGTAGGTGAGCAGGTGTGCAGGTGAGAAGGTATGTAGGTGAGCAGCTGTGGTGCAGGTGAGGAGGTATGGTGTAGGTGAGCAGGTGTGCATGTGAGGAGGTATGTAGGTGAATAGCTGTGGTGTAGGTGAGTAGGTGTGGTGCAGGTGAGGAGGTATGGTGTAGGTGAGCAGGTGTGATGCAGGTGAGCAGGTATACGGGTGAGCAGGTGTGGTGCAGATGAGGTGTGGTGCACGTGAGGAGGTATGGTGTAGGTGAGCAGGTGTGGTGCATGTGAGGAGGTATGGTGTAGGTGAGCAGGTGTGGTGCATGTGAGGAGGTATGTAGGTGAGTGGCTGTGGTGCAGGTGAGCAGGTGTGGTGCAGGTGAGCAGGTGTGGTGCAGGTGAGGAGGTATGGCGTAGGAGAGCAGGTGTGGTGCATGTGAGGAGGTGTGTAGGTGAATAGCTGTGGTGTAGGTGAGCAGGTGTGGTGCAGGTGAGGAGGTGTGTAGGTGAGCAGGTGTGTAGGTGAGCAGATGTGCAGGTAAGCAGGTGTGCAGGTAAGCAGGTGTGGTGCAGGTGAGGAGGTGTGTAGGTGAGTAGCTGTGGTGCAGGTGAGCAGGTGGTACTCTCATTGCCCTGCAGGTGTACAAGCAGAAAGTGAAGCACCTGCTCTATGAGCACCAGAACAACCTGACAGAGATGAAGGCTGAAGGCACGGTGATCATGAAGCTGGCACAGAAGGAGCACCACATGCAGGAGGGTGCGCTGCGCAAGGATATGCGGGCGCTGAAGGTGGAGCTCAAGGAACAGGAGCTGGCCAATGAGGTGGTGGTGAAGAACCTGCGGCTGGTAGGTGTGATGGGGGCACGTGGAGGCTGACAGATTGTTGGGGACGCAAGCCCAGTGCCGCATGAACTCTGGTTTATTCAACAGCAACTGGGAATTCATATTTTTGCCTAAGATCTCCTGCATTTTTTTAGTTTGTTGAAATATATATACAGGTATTGATCAACTTACAACCTATGCAACTTACGACCATTCGACTTTACGACCACAGTTGCTAGCCACGACTGCTCCGCGTCTGGCAGCGCACACGTTGCCCAACTGGGCGTACGACAGTGCGGACCAGCTTCCAGCAGCACTACCATCTCCGCGTGCATATAGCCTACTCAACTTACGACCAAATCGTGTTACGACCGGTCTGTCGGAACCAATCGTGGTCGTAAGTCGAGCACTAGCTGTATATTTTTAAGCGTGTATCCAAACAAACCCCATTTTGGGGCCAAGTGCACAATGCTATCTCAGCCCTGAGGAATAAATTGACATCCCCGAAGAAAAATCCAGCTCAGGGTCTTTGATGTGCTGCTGACACATGATGCCCAGGTACTTTCCTAGAGAATAGTGTCATTGGTGTTTAGTAGAAAGTGAACCAACCATTAAAATGTCCAGTGTGTTGGCCCTTGGGCAGCTGTGGTTTGTCACACAAGCTGTGCTGATTTTTACTTTTGAAGCTGGGAGTTTCCAGGGCACTGTTAAAATTGATTTGTGCGCCTGCTTCAGTGGCTCACACCCATAATCCCAGCACTTGGGAGGGTTAGATGGGAGAACCGGTTGAGGCCAATAGTTGGAGAGTAGCCTGGGTGAAATCATTGAACCCTATCTTGTTTTTTCTCTTTTTTTTTTTTTTATTCCTTTCTTTTTCCCTAGACTGCTCAGCAGGATGAACCCTATCTCTACAGAAAAACAAAACAAAACAAACCCATGGCTGGGTGAGGTAGATCAGGGCTGTAATCCCAGCACTTTGGGAGGCCGAGGCGGGTGGATCATGAGGTCAGGATTTCGAGCCCAGCCTGGCCAGCATGGTCAAACCCTGTCTCTACTAAAAACACAAAAATTAGCTGGGCATGGTGGTGGGTGCCTGTAATCTCACCTACTTGGGAGGCTGAGACAGGAGAATTGCATGAAACCGGAAGGCGGAGGCTGCAGTGAGCCGAGATGGCAGCACTTCACTCCAGCCTGGACGACAGAGCGAGACTCCGTCTCAAATAACAGTACCAACAAACATAAGCGGGTGTGGCGGCAATGCCTATAGTGTCAGCTACTTGGGAGGCTGAGGTGGGAGGATCCCTTGAGTTCAGGAAGTCAAGGCTGTGGTGAGCTAGGATCGTGCCACTGCACTCCAGCCTCGGTGACAGAGTGAGACAAAATGAAAAAGAAAGGAATTTGTTTGCTGAGCGTCCATTAGCTGCTAGGTCCTGATCTGATCTCTGGCAAAGTGCCTGCCTGACCGGGGGTGATGGTCTAGAAAGGCAACAGGTGAGTTGGAAGACAAAATAAATGTGTCAGATAAAACAGAGAATCTGGTGGGGACACATGACACAGAAAGCAAAGTGGGGAGAGGAGGGGTGCAGTTTTGTACAAGTAGGTGACCAGCGGGGAGAGGGGTGGGCCAGTGGGAAGGCCCAGAGGAACAGAAGGAGGACGTTGGGGGGAGAGGGGTCTGTGCTTATTCACCTCGAAAGCTGGGTGAGGACTGGGACTTAGACCTGGGGGAGTCCACTGCACTCTGAGAATGGGTGGAGGAGACGTGTCTGAGGTTAGTCTTCAAAGGTTCTTCCTGGTGCTGGGTAGAGGAGACTTTCTTTCCTTCTCTTTTTTTGGAGACGGAATCTCGCTCTGTCACCCAAGCTGGAGTGCAGTGGTGTGATCATGGCTCACCGCAACCTCTGCCTCCTGGATTCAAGCCATTCTCCCACCTCAGCCTCCCAAGTAGCTGGGATTACACGTACCTGCCATCATGCCCGGCTAATTTTTGTATTTTTGCAGAGATGGGGTTTCACCATGTTGGCCAGGCTGTCTCGAACTCCTGACCTCAGGTGATCCGCCCACCTCGGCCTCCCAGATTCTTGGGATTGTGGGCACGAGCCACTGTGCCTGGTCTCAAGGAACCTAACAAATTTGCCTCATGCCTGGAAGCAGTTCAGCCTCAACTGAATCTGGAAGAAACTTAGTGACTGCTGACTTTGCAGCAAAGCATGAGGGTGCTGGAGTCTTGAACCCTCCAGAATTGTCTGGTCTTAATCCGGGTCCTGGAAGTGGTATTGTTACATAATCAGAGTTCCCTGTTGGATGAAAATACTGCTTTAAAAAAAAAAATCAGTGGCCAGGTGCAGCGGCTCAAGCCTGTAATCCCAGCACTTTGGGAGACCAGGGTGGGTGGATCACAAGGTCAGTAGGTCGAGACCATCCTGGCCAACATGGTGAAACCCTGTCTCTACTAAAAATACAAAAATTTTATTTTCTAGTTTATTTTCTATTTACAGGCACGTGGGGTGGTCCGTGCTTATAATTCCAGCAACTTGGTAGGCTGAGGCAGGAGAATCACTGGAACCTGGGAGGCGGTCACAGTGAGCTGAGATTGCGCCACTGTATTTTCTATTTTCAGGCACGTGGGGTGGCCCGTGCCTGTAATCCCAGCAACTTGGGAGGCTGAGGCAGGAGAATCACTGGAACCTGGGAGGCGGAGGTCACAGTGAGCTGAGATTGCGCCACTGCACTCCAGCCTGGTGACAGAGCGAGACTCTGTCTTGAGGAAAAAAAAATAATTTTTTTATTCAAAATTTTATTATATAATGTTTATTGAAATATATACAAATTATTTGTTTAAAAAAATATATATATTTATTTTTAGAGACGAGGTCTCATTCTGTCTCCCAGGCTGCAGTGCATTGGTACAATTGTAGCTCAGCAGCTTCGAACTCCTGGGCTCAGGCGATCCTTCCACCTTAGCCTCCCAAGTAGCTGGAACTATAGACATGTGCCACCACATACACCCAATCTTTAAATTTTCTGTAGAGGGTCTTGCTGTGTTGCCTAGGCTGCTCTTGAACTCTTGGCCTCAAGTGATCCTCCTGCCTTGGCCTCTGAAGTGCTGGGATTACAGGCATGATTCACCATGCCCAGCCTATTAAAATACTTTTAAAATGCTGGTTTCGGCAACAGTGCAGCAGGTTGGAAGCTGCACACAGGACCTGCAGAGATGCCGCAGCTCTCTGGATGTGGCTGCTGCTCTCCGTGCTGTGGGATGGCTTGGCAAGGGAACGAAGTTGGGTTCAGTGCTCACAGTGTCTGTTCATGTTCTCTCTCAAGCTGAGAGGTGATGTAGTTGAGGAAAGTGAGTTAGGAAATGTGGAGGGCACCAGAACCATGTCATCCTGGGCATATTCCATGAACCTGGAGGAGCGGAGAACCCAGCAACCAGCAGCAGAATGAGGTTTGCTGAGCTGGGTTTTTCATGGCGGCTAGGGTCGGCCTGAAGGGAGTCAGCTTCCTCTGTGTCTGGCTGTCTAGTAATGGCCTCTTTTCCCCTGTGCAGAAACACACTGAGGAGATCACCAAGTTGCGGAATGATTTTGAGAGGCAAGTTCGAGGTCAGTTTCCCCCATGCTCATTGTGTAGGGCAGTGCCAGAGCCCCCATCAGAAAGGAACTTATCTCCAGAGCCTGTGAACTCAGGGAACACAAACTAGATTAAAACAGCCCAAGCATGCAAGGGAAAGAATGTGGGAGTTTCCAAGGTCAGTGGACCCACTCAGAATCCCAGAGCGACTTACTTTCATGTGAGTCTGGGAGCCTGTGATTATCACACACTTTCCCACTCCTAGCTAAAATCAGGAGTTATCAGCAGGTGGTGGTTACTCAGTGCCGTGGGCAGCATTCTTAAAATAGTCTTCTCCATGGTTCCTGGTCTGAGAAGGCTCCCATTTCAGAAGCCTGTCTGGTTTACTAATAAGAGCCTGTAGTCTGTGTCTGGATGGCCACACGGGCCTTGATTACTCTTCCTGGGGTCAGCTGACATTCAGCTGTTGGCGGTCCCAGTGCAGGGAGCGATTAGCAATGCCTGTCACTGGCAAAGGCAGGTGGACGGTGGCATGTGTGCTGAGTAGGAGCCACCCGCAGAAAGCACGAAAGCCCTCTGTTCTCCTGCAGAGCTTGCTTGCAAAGCAGTCCTGACCACAGTGGGCATCTGGGGTCCTGTTTACAGGCTCCCTGTTTGGTAGTCGTAGGGGCACCTTCTTCCTTGCTAAGCTGCTATTTGTTGCTGCCTTTCAGAAATCGAGGCCAAGTATGACAAGAAGATGAAGATGCTGAGGGACGAGCTTGATCTGCGGAGAAAGACCGAGCTGCACGAAGTGGAGGAGAGGAAGAACGGCCAGATCAACACGCTGATGCAGCGCCACGAGGAGGCCTTCACCGACATCAAGAACTACTACAACGACATCACCCTCAACAACCTGGCCCTCATCAACTCCCTCAAGGTGAGGTGCTGCGCATGAGGTGGGGGCGGGGAGATACTCTGCCTGTGCCAGGATGCAGGCTGCAGAGTCCTGGGGATCCGGCCCCCAGCCCTTCTCCCAACACACCCCATTTCATAAGATTGTTTCACAGTGCCCCTCTAGTGTCCTTCATTGAAATTCCTAAATAATGTAACCTGTCTATACGTATTGTTAAAAGCTGTCAGGATAGTTCCTCACCGTAGTGAGAGGGGAGGTAATCAAGTGTAATTGATTTATAAAAGCTTGGTGGAACTGCAGTGGGTAACCCATTGTGGCTGGCGTGGACAGGTGTCCTCATCACTCACATGCTGGCAGTGATAGGATTTTCTACAAGAGGCCACGGCCCTTGGTGGAATCTTGAACAAAGTGTAGTCCCTCCATCTGCGTGGAAGCTGCATTCCCAGAAAACTCAGAATAAGTTGAAACTGCAGAAATACTGTGTTTATCCCTACAACGGGGATCTAAGTGCCAGCGTGCATGTGGCCTCAGGACCTGTTTGTGGGCAGGAGGGCCCCCTGGCTCCCCCTGCAGCCATGGCCCCTTTGGTTCTGCCTGCTGACCCTTCCCGGGCCTGTGCTTGTGCCTGCAGGAGCAAATGGAGGACATGCGGAAGAAGGAAGACCACCTGGAGAAGGAGATGGCAGAGGTGTCTGTGCAGAACAAGCGCCTGGCGGACCCTCTCCAGAAGGCTCGCGAGGAGATGGGTGAGATGCAGAAGCAGCTCGTGAACTACGAGAGGGACAAGCAGATCCTGCTTGTGAGTTTCCTGCTGGAATCATCTCCCTCCTTGGCACCAGCCCCAGCTCAGGAGGAAGGAACATCACGGGGATCCCTGAGGCTCCACGTGGGGCTTGGCCTTCAGGGCAGGAAAGGAGATGGGGAGGCTAGCATTTCTCCTTTCTCAGCCTTGTTTTCTGGGGAAAGTCAAGTCTGGGGGTGTTTTGGAGACAGGCCCTTGTCTTCACCGCATGCTACTGACCTGCCCTGGCGGGGCTCAGCTGCTGGTGTCCTGGAACCTGGTCTTAACGGCGATGGTTTTTGGCTTTGCCATCTCCCAGGAGACTGTTACCTGATGACTGTGAATCTTGAATACTTTGTATCCCTACTCCCTATTTTTTCTACAGTGCACAAAAGCACGTTTAAAAGTCACAGAGAAAGAGCTGAAAGACCTGCAGTGGGAGCACGAAGTGTTAGAGCAGCGGTTCACCAAGGTGAGTGGGCACCAGGCTGGCCCTGCCCCGGCAGTGGGAGTGATGGGTCACGACAGGCCACTGTCTGCCAGCCAGGGACGGGGCTCTCCTTGTTGCCCTGGCTCCTGGAACAGCTTCAGGTGCCTTGACCTTGTTTTTGGGTTCTGAAGCTGTAACTCATCCCATAGCTTCTAAGAGGCAAAAACCTGTGTCGTATTTTGCATGCATATCCTGCAGGAGGCCTGGGGTCTCGTGGGAGCAGATCACATATGACTCACATGTGTGTCCTGCAGGAGGCCTGGGGTCTCATGGGAGCGGATCACACATGACTCACAGGCGTGTCCTGCAGGAGGCCTGGGGTCTCGTGGGAGCGGATCACAC